ATAAATCTGTAACCTTTATTCACTGTTCATTACACTGCATTTCTTATTTATGGAACAAATGAAACCTCAAACCCTGCTTGCATTGTCTGTTTCCTGAGGGGAAGGTAATGAGGTTGACTTCATTGATTTCCACTTAGAGGAGGTACAGGGGATTGAACCCGGGCCCCCTTGGGTGCTGAGCATACACTCTACCACTTGAGCTATAACCTTCCTCCTACACTTGCATTTCTACTGTGTCCCTGATATCAAAGCCAAATCTTACACTTTATTTGCAGCTTAGCATCATCTTACATTTTAATTTGCTTCTTTCAACACAGGGCAGTGACATTTTTGTACAATGTTTAATTTGCCAGCAAGTTTTTCTTGAATAGTCTTTATCAGGACCACAAGTTTCTCTGCTGTCCCAGTCGCCCTGTTTTTCAGAGGCCCCCTTTTCTCTGAATACCTATCTGGCAGAGCTTCTGTCCTTTGGTTCCACTCAGGACCTGGTAAATTTTAGGCCTACTGTATTGCTTTAATTCTGGGCGTTCTCTATTTGAGTAGATTGGAACCTCCTTCTAGAGTTGCCAGATTTAGCAAATAAAAACACAGAATCCCCTTTAATTTCAGATAAACAACAATTTTTTTTTAAGTGTAAGCATGTCCCATGAACTGTCCTCTCTATCCCAACTTGTCTTCTTTCTTTGTTGACAGCGTTATTTTGATAGAGAACATTCTTGATTACCTTTCTAAGAAAAGGAAGCACAGGAAGTAAATTTGAGAAGTCCCTGGAAATGTTTTTTTTCTCCCTCCTTATAGTTGATTGATGGTCTAGCTTTAGAAATGTACCTTGAAAGACAATTTCTATCAGAAAATTGAAGACATTGTTCCATGGTTTTTGGCTTCCAATGTGTCTAATGCTAGTCTAACTCACATACCTTGTGGGGGCTTTTTCCCCTGGGAAAGCTTTTAAAATCATTTCTTTATTCTTGGTGTTCTAAAACCTCACAATTTGATATAGGTCTTTTTTTAAAAAAATTATTTTGTTTCAGTCCTCAGTGATTCTAAAGAACAGTTCTAAAGAACTATGACACTCATCAGCTCTGGAAATTTTTCTTCAGTTATTTCTTTGCTGTTTTCATCTTTTCCATTGTATTGGTTCTCTTTTTGGAACTCTGAAAGTCTCACCTTGGACCTCTTGCATTAGTCTTCATTCCTTTTTTTTTCCCCTTATATTTTCCATCTTTGACTTCTTATTCTGTATTCTAGGAAATTTTCTCAAGTTTTTTCCAGTTTTGTTTTTGATTTTTTCATTTTGATAATATTTTAATCTCTTAAAGCCATCTTGTTTTCTAAGCATTCCTCTATAATAACATAGTATTTTTATTTTGTGAATCATCTGCCTGAATTACTCTGAAAATAATTTTTAAAGGTCCCTCCTGTGCCCTGAATTATTTTTATTTCATGCAGCATCAGGGTTTCTTGTCTTTTTTTTTTTTTTACCTTAGTCTTTTTCTGTCATGTTCTGATTTCTCTTAAATTCCTGATGCTACTTGGTTATCCATTCTTACTCAGGAAAGAATTGGGTTGCTTGTGTGAATTTGCTCTGATGCTATGTTAGCAGGGAGGCCTCTGTCCAGTATGGGGTGGTGACACGGTGTTGGCTGTCAGATTTCACTCCAGCATGTACTGGTGGGAAGCTGGCTGTCCGGCATGGGCTTTTAAATGCCAGAATGTGAAGGGTTGTAAACTGGGGTACCCAGTCCCACAAAAGGCCTTGCTATTCCCAGAAGGTTCATTCAACAAAGGAGGCCTCTGTTTTTGCCTACTTTTTCTGGATGCTGGAATTCTAAGTATAGGGGTATGGGAGGAGCAGAGAGGTGCTGATTTGCACTGTAGATCTGTATATAAACCTTCAATTAATCTTCTCACTTTTGGCCACCTTTCTTAACTCTCAACTTAAAGCCCAGAATGTGTCATGATTTCTAACAGGCATATTGTATCCCTTTTTCTCTGTGTCGATTTTCTATGGTGCATTCATCACTCATGCTCTCACATGCTTTCCATCTTCCAGAAATTGTTGAACTCTCTTGTGCAGTTGTGAGCAGATCCCATCCTCCACATCCTTAGCTGATATAGTGAGGCTTATTGCTTTTTGTACTTTTATTCTTTTATTCTCATGAGTCTCCATAAGGAAAGAAAAGTCCATGAAGAAAGGAGAGAGATGGGCTTAAGTGCATCATACGTCACCTTGAACTAGTAGTTTGTAGTTGCTTCTATTTTGTTATTTCATGGTGGAAATGTAATTCAAGTTAAATAATGAGTTACTTCCTTCCTCAGTCACTTCCACGGAATCGTTCAGCTGCAGCCAGCACTATCTGCTTTGTACCTAAGGAATCTGAGGGTCAATGATGCTTAAGAATATCAAACTGTGATAGAATGACTATTGACTTGTGCTGAAAAACTAAGGAGGATTCTAAGATATTGAAAAAACAGTCATTCTGAAATTGAGCTCATTTGTTCTACAATGTCTAATAAGTGTCTAGAATGGGCCAAGTACTAGGCTAAGTGTTGGCAAGGTAGATGGATATAAAGATGAACACGGTATAGACTACCCTTGAGGATAAGCATAATCTGCTGAATAACTTGAGTTTATGTGCCATTTTGCAGTTTATAAATCAATTTTACCTATGGGGGACTCTTGACACTTACTGATTTACTATTCAGTTTTAACTACTCCTAGGGGACTCCAATGATCCGTGACATGCAATAGTTTATTCATTTGCTTAGGTACAAATTTGAATCACATGCAGCATGTGGATGATATAGTTGCTTGGATGGTGAAATAGCCAAGCTGACTCTTGTGGAATCGTGAAGTAGCCTTGTGCATATTGTATATGAATTTATAGCCAGATTCTTGAGCCATCTGAGCGCATTGGGATTACAAACATGAAATGGGTTTATTTTTCCCCTATCATTGTCTCCAACAATGTTCTTTCAAATTCTTTTCTTCTTGTTTTGGCATCTTGGGTAGATTCCATAGTTTCTAAACGCTTTCTGTTGTTAAAAAGTTCAGTGTATTCCGATTTAAAATTTGAATCTTGCTTCTTCCAATTCCCCAGCTCAGGTTTGAACTCTGCAAGAGAACTTAGAGTGGGAGAGAGGGCCTGTTTCTCTTCCCTCTCTGCTGCTTCTTGCTCTTTCTTTGTGTTGTGGCAGATGGGAGGAGGAGTACCTGTGACTTTCCTGAACACTGCCCTAGTCCCATATGGTTGTTGCTACTGCAGCTAAGATGTAACTAGCCATCCATAAACACCCTCTTTGGGGTAAGCATCCAAAGGCCAGCTCCCTCATGGCTTACAAGTGGACATTCTCTGGGGAAATGCTCACCGACGAGTTCTTTGATTTGAGAAATCAGCATTGGCTTGCCCTCCACCAAACCACTTTGGCTCCACCCCTGGTGATTCACCTCCAGTCTCTTGTCAGATGAAGTACCACCGGGAAGATGCAAGCCCATATACTTGACTCCACATCCCCCCGTAACAGGCTGCTTCAATGCTGCCCTCTTTCTGCTCCATTGGTTTATCTCAACTCTTTTGCAATCTTTGGGTCTCATTTTTCCCTGCTAAAATGGGCACAGAGGGCTGACTAGTAAGTTTGCCACATAAAGGGGTGTCCACATGGAAACTGAAATGCTGGTCTGCCCTTCCTACAGGGACCCTCAGTCTCAATGAGAGATTCTCTCAGACCTCTGTGTAATTTGGAATTGGGAAGAGATAATTCACCCTTTCAGTGAGGAAGGGGGAAAATCCTCTTAACTATAATGATTGTATTCCGGCAACTCTGCTGTCTCCAATCTACCTCCTCTCCCCACCTATTTCTGTAAACAGGGGCAGGAAGAAGGTAGGAGTGATGCAAGAATCTAGCCCACATTTTCTGTGGAGAGCTTTCTTTATAGATTTGGATCCTACTTGGTGATTCTGAGTCAGCAGGAAAAGTGTTCCTCAGTGGTCTAGTATACATTTTACGCTAGGTATGTGGTCACATTAATTAGCTGGGGACTTGACAAAGTTCTGGAAACATTCCTCTTGAATGTGTAGGGCTGTATGTTCTCAAGATTCACCTATATCAAAATCTACTGGGAGGCGCAGGGGAAAATGTGAATTCCTAGGCTGTATATCCTAAGGTTTAGACTCTTAAAGGTTGAGAAGGAGTGAGGAATCACAATCTTCAATAAACACTCCAGGTGTTGCTGACGCATACAGAAGTTGGACAACCACTTGCCTTGAGTCCATGACACATTATCTTATGTCGTCTCAACACCACTGTTAAGTAGGTCAGGCTGGTATTATCCCCATTTTGCTGATGAGGAAATTGAGATTTAAAGGAGAACCACAGCTTGCCAAACGCAGAGTAATCCTCCACTCGGTGCTAGTGGTAACGCACATCAGCCTGTCCCATCACTATGCCACTGACCAGAATTTTGAACAGACAGAAAATATCACTCAATTTATTTATCTTTTTTCAGATTACCAACATAATGCATGTTTATTTTAGGAAATCCATAAAAGTACAAAAAGTGATCTAAACAAATATAATCCCACCATTCAGATAGAATAATTTGTTTCTGCATATGATATGCTTGCTACACCTGCTTTTGCCAAATGAAGATTAAATCATATTTTAATACTCTTTAGTAAACTGCTTCCTAAAATTCATCCGTTAAACCTTTTTTTCAACATTGTTTTCAATGGCAATATAGTCTTTTACCGTATGGATGTGGAGTTCTTTATTTAACCAATCCCCTGTTAATGGCCAATTTGATTATTTCAACTTTTTACTATTACAAAAAGGTGCTTTATTGTTAGGCAGCTTAAAGGGGAATTGAGGAATATATTGCAACTGTCTAGGGGAAATGAAGCCAATTTTTAAAGGTCATGTTGTATTAAAAAATATATAGAGGGTCTGAAATGATATGAAATATTTTCACAATCACTAAAAATACTATGTTGTTTTCTTAGGAACAAGACCATTTTGTTTTACTTTAACCTGCTCAGCTGTGCCAGTCCCTCTGTGGTGGTGAACCTACAGTGCCCTACCACACAGGTAAGGCCGAAAAATGCCTTGCTGGTGTCATTAGCAATTTTAAACATTCTTGGATGAAAGAATTTGGAAATTCCATTTGAGTTCTGGGTATGTGTGTGATTAATAATGAATTTATGGAAGGTGGGAAGACAGAAGTATGAACTCATGTTTGTTCAATACAATTTTTTTTTTAAAAAAAGCAGGGATTAGTCATTTTAGCATCACTAGGAACCTTAGTAATTATCTTGTCCAATCACCTATTTTTATAAATGAACAAACTGTAGCCCAGAGAAGTGGAGATATTTTTCTCAATATCAGTATTAGGAAGAGTAATGACAGCTACTGTAAGTAATAAGCCCCAGGTTTTCTGCGACACAATAGTCTCTTTTTGGTCACATAAGAGTATAAGGCAATATTTGTGGTCTTTGGGCCACTCTCCTCCAGCCTCCTTTCATCTGGTGGCTCTTTCATCCCTTAAGTCCTCAGCAGCAGCAGCCTGTTGCCAGGAGGAGACAGGATGGATAAAGCACCCCTGCTCTTAAAGCCTCGTCAGTAGGGCCACATGTTGCATTTCGACTCATATGTCACCAACTCCTCAGTTCTCTACGCTCACCCTACATGCAGGAAGGGACGAGTAAGGCAATGTAGTTGTGGGCTGGGCGGCCTCCTTACCATGAACAAATGAAACAATAGACACAGACTGCAATGGACAGTAGCTGTATCGTCCATAGTATACCCCTCCCTTCTCCACAGTACACTTCTTCCCAAGGGAGAGAGGCCAGAGTTCTGAGTGGCGCTGTCTTTAATCTAAAGGCCAGGATCTATGGATGATGAACAGTCCCTCCATCAGGTCTTGACACTAAATGCACAATGGGGAGTGGGGCTAGGAAAAGTAGGATACAGATTCCCATTCAGAAAGGGAGGAGGCATAAGAGCACAGCCGTCTTTGGTGCACGGCACTGGGAAAGTCTTTTATTCGACCTGGGTTGTGTTCTCTAGGAGGAACTTCCATATCCATTGCATCCTGTGGTCCTTTGCTCAACCACCTGGGAGATTATTTCCTGTCTCTCCTCAGCCTTCTTGCCCTGCCTCCTGCCTCCTTCAGCCTGTTCTCTACCCAGCAGCCAGCGTGATCCTGCTAAATATGTCACATGATGTCCCTCCTTTGCTCAAGCCCTCTCCCCTCAGTAGCTTCCCAGGTCACTCAGATTAAAAGGCAAAGTGCTGACGATGGCCTACGGGCTCCCTCACTGCTGCCCGCCTCTGCCCGCCTCTGCTGCTGCCTTCCTTCTCACCGCTCTCGGCCCTGCTGACCGTCTGTTGTCTTCAGAGAATCCAGGAAGGCCCCTACTTCCCAGCCCCGACTTGGCCGTCCCCAGCCTAGGGTGCTCTTTCTCCAGGTGACGATGGCTTGATCACTAGTCGTCAAGTCTTCCTTCACAGGTTACCTTTTCAGTGAGGCCTCCCTTGGCGACCTCGTTAAAGCTAGGATCCCACCCTGGCACCTGGCACCCTCTTGCCTTCTTTCTAGCCTTCTTTTTCTCCATAGCACCGATTACGTTCTTAGCCCAAACGACTTTCCCCATTTGTTGTTACTCATCTCCCTGTACTAGGAAGTAAACTGCTTGAGGGTAGGGACTTTTATCTTGTTTTTGGTCACTACTGGGTCCTCAGTGCCTAGAACAGCCTCAAAGTAGGTGATCAGTACACATTTGTTGAATGAGTGAGTGAGTGAGTGAGTGAATCAATACAGTCCTATTCTCAATCTAGGAATTTTTCCACTATACTATCCAAATCCATCATTCCTGTGATGAAACAAAAAATCCTTGCACATTCTGCTTTTTGTTGTTTCAGAAATTGTCTCCTGGATCATCCTTTCTTCACTGCAAATGTGGTGCTTTAAGTGTCAGCGTAACTCTCTCTTCTGCTCACCAAATCCTAATTTATATTAGAGTGTTAATCCTATATGAATGGAAGATGTAAAAACAATGAGGAAGAACTATATTCAGCGTGCCCCTTTGTGGTTACACAAAGAATCAGAACTGAGTCAGGATAAATATTAGCCGTCAATGACGCAGACTCACTTTTAGTCTGCCAGGCGATAGTGTATCTCCTGATCCAAGCCATATTTTTATGCATTATGCTTTCTGTTAACTGCGGCATGGTCCAGACATGTGTCATAAGCCTTTAAAGGACAGATCGTGATCAATTAGGATACCAATCTCAATGTGACCTTCATTTTCAGCTAATTATATGTTGATTGCTACTAATCAGCACTCTATTTGAAGTGAACAAATTGGTCTGATAGAGAGAGTAAAGAGCAGTTGCTATATTGTTTTTTAACAGCTCATTTGGATTGGAATGAAATTTGATGTGATTCTCTTTAACATACCATTTTTTAACCCTTTGAATTACTTTCTTTTATATGGTGCATCCACAGCACCTTCGTATCTGTAGTAGCCATTGTGTGTGTGTGTGTGTGTGTGTGTTCATAAATACAGAAATCATTGTGGCTTCAACTCAGTAGTTGCTACCATCATTTAAAGCCTGTGAAAGCGTTGGTACTTTCAGTATTCGCTTTTAGAAATCCATTTAAATGTAACCAACAGGGGAACCAGTTCAGTTATCTTTCAGAGTCATGTAAGTAAATTGCCGAGGTTGAAACGTCTGTGAGGTAGCTCCTAGTATGTGAATGGTTTTTTTCAGCTTACCTCCAATCAGAGTGAACTTTTGATAGTTGCATTGATAATGACCTTAGCCTTCTTCCAAAAACTGTGAGCATGTTGGATGCTGTGAATGGCCCTAAATAGTTCTTCAACTTTCATAGCAGGATACTTGTGAAACTTTCAATATTTCTTCTAGAAGTATATGTGATTGTGTGTGTGGCATGTGTGTGTGTGTGGTGTGCGTGTGCGCATGCGTACGCACACGTGTGTATGAGAGACTGAGAAAGAAAATGTGTATGGTGGTGTGAATGTGGGGATGGGTTGCTTCCCTTGTGAAAACTTCTAAAAGCAATTGGACTGGTGCTGCTACAAAACATATCCACTTAGTTATCAACCTATGACCTTAGCTGTGGGTTGACACCAAACGTCCTCATGTATAGCAGAAACATGACCCAACAGTTGAGAAAGAGATGTCAGCTCAGCAGCCGTGTTTTTACCTAACTGCCAACGGGGGTTGAGCTAGAGTCTGGCCAGTGAGAACAGTTACCAAAGTGCAGTGGGGAGATGGAGCAAGTTAGAGCTGGGAGGGTTTTCTTAAGGAGGAACTGAAGCTGGAGGAGAGAATGTTCAAGGATTGACTGCAACTCTCATATCTGCATGTGATCTTTGGTCTTGTTGTTGTTGTTTTAAATCACAAACAAAAGCAAAATCAATAGAGTGCATCTTCCCTGATTCTGCTCTCTCTGTAGAGCTGCTAATTGGATTGCCGTCACTCCACGGTGGCTCTGTGGACTAGCAGGGTGATCTGATTTGGCATTAATAGGCCCCCAAAGTTCAGTAATGTAAAATAATTGCATCAGCGACCTCTCTGCCCACATTTGGCTGGTTTTGATAAAAGACAATAACAATGCTTGACTGCCACAAATAGCCCTGATTTTTGTTAGTTTCTTATGGTACTACCTCTATCATGTTTTGAGAATTCACTGGCACTGACCGTTATTAGTGGTATGAGTTGTCAACGTTTGGAGCATTTTAAATTACCATTTTATTCATATATAGGAAAGAAAGCAAGATACTAACCATGGAAATATATAAACTACACAGGAAGAATTAAGCTTGCGTTATACTCTTACTTACTAATTCAGAAAATCGTAAGAAAATGTTTTATTAAAAATTCATCACTGTCCTGTGGAAGCTGACACATGAATCCACAAGGATAAAATTGCTTGGGACTGCACACACATACACATACAAGTGCACACATGTAAAACTGGTGAACACTGAGTGACATTAGTGGGTTGTAACAATATCAGTATCGTTGTGGTGTTGTACTACAGTTATGCAGGTTATTACCATTGGTCAAAACAGGGTGAAAAGTGTGCAGGATCTATTATTTTTCACAGCTGCATGTAGATCTACAGTTATCTCAAATCAGAAGGTAAAATTAAGTTTGTCTTTGTATGGCATCTTATTGTTTTAACAGAACATCAACAGGCAAGGAGCAGAAATTGATAACTAGTACATGAAATCTTCCTTTTTATAATAAGTTTAGAAATTGATGTAAGTTTCTTAGATGAAAAATGGTGCTTTGCTCTTCTATGGTAGTGGATAACTTAGAAGTCTAACCTGGCAGATAATTCCTTCGTCTGTTCAACTCAGTTTAGTCCACACCACTGTGTTTCTTTATTTCATAGATCTGTGTTTCCAAGTGCCCAGAAAAGTTTTTAACCTACATGGAAATACAATTCACATACAGAAGAGACAGAAACTACTGGGCGTACTACAGCCAGTTCTGCAAGTCCGCTGTTCTTAAGCCTGCGAAGGTATGCGTGTTTAAGCTTAAAACTAGAGAAGGATTCAACTTGTTTCAATCTCAAGTGTAACGTGAGCATTTGTAACTGGATAAGCTCCAATATCTTTTAGGAAATGATTGCTAACAAATACCATTCCGTTAAAATACAAATGTGCTTGTACGTATAACACACACATAATTTACAGCATATCATTTTGTAGACTTGGGGCGTCATACCAGGCTCTCAGGTCTGGTAAGTTAGCATCAGCTATTCCCTGACGCCAGCAAGTTCTCTTCTTGGATGGACTTTTTGCCCTCAGGAGCTAGGAGCTAAATGGCGTTTGCAGTCACCATTTCATTCATGTAGAGATAAAGCCCTAGGGCCACTTAGTAACAAGAATTTTACTTCCCAACCTGGTTTGATGATTGCTCATCAAAAAAATCCCCAAGCACTACCTAGGTTTAAGATTTATAAGGGAATTCTAAAGCCTCACTGTATTAATTAGTAGTAACGGCTTCTAAATTAGAGAAGATGCCATTTTTTTCCAGAAAAAAATGAAAAGATTGGAGGCTGAGGCTGTGACTAAGACAAAGATACACATCTATAAAGGTGTGCCTTGGTTTCACAGGTCTGACTTTATTATTGTTGATTCAATTGAATTACAGTTAGGACACTTAAGAGTGTCAAAGTTGTGTGTGTGATCACCTTACGATGACTCTTACTCGGGGAATAATTTGGAATTAGCAAGATTATTAGGGAATTGAATTTTGAAAGGACAAAATTTTTACAGGAAGAATAAACCTTGTCATCATATAGTCCTTGAACCGTTAACATACTTTTCTTTCGATTTTAGACTCTCACACAAGTTTTACTGGATAATGATTGTCCGACGGCGATTTTTCCAAGCAGACCTTGTAAGTGGTGATTATTTTGCCCTTAGAAACAGAGAATCTATCAATAAATTATTTAATTCGGTTGCCTTATTTCACAGCTGAAAAGCTGAAGCCGAGAATGGTCCCATGAATGGCCCAAGGTCCCAGGGATAGTTAGGAAGGAAGCCAGAGCTATAAGCCCCTTCTGACTCCAGCCAGGGCTGTTCCACTGGAGCTTGGTGAGGTTTTGGGTTTGGCTGCATAAATACACACATAAAAGACTAACAGTTGATTTTTAAAAGCCCAGTCAGATTGATTATTTGGTGCTCTTTGAGCACACACACAGACACTCAAACATGCTCACCTCTGAATTCAGCCAAAAAGTTTGTTGAGATGCCTGAGACATGATGGTGGGGCATATACTTGTCTTTATCACTTGAAATTTGAAATATTTATATGTCTTCTGAATTAATCAACATTTTATTTCTTTAAAAATTTTAAACTTTAACTCTGCTTAGAAGAAAATTAAATAATCACTCATTTTCCTTTGTTAAGGATATAATCCCAACTATAGGGAAAAACCTTTACATAAAGATGTCCATCACAGTGTTATTCAAAAGAATCAAAAAAAAGAAGAGAAAGAAAATTAAAAGGAAACACTGTATTATCCAAGAGTACATGAATGCTTCAATCAATTATAATGTATTCATTAAATGAAATATTTTAGAAAAGTTACATATACGTATTGTGTATATATTACAATGTTAATTCAAATGGAAAATTCTGTATGTATTATAATGATAAGCATGTATAAATTAAAATAAACAAAACAAACTATTCAAAGAAAAAGATTGGAAAGAAATACGTGAAATATTAAGTGATTGTTTTGGAGGTAGCAAAACTATGACCATTTTCCTCTTCTTTCTTCTTTTTTCTTCTCTGTTTTCCACAATGAGTACATATTTCTTTTAATATGGAAGAAAGACAAGAGTTGTCAATTTGAGTAGAAAGTCAGGTACCACTGAAGTAGCTGCCACCGAACATAATGTCTTCCATGCTCCTATCACTCTTCTCTGAATCATTAAAGACCCTCCAGCAAAGTTTAAGTCTGGGAAGCAACTGCATTTTACTAGGAAGCCCTGGGTAACAAGTGTCTGTAGCCAAAAACAATGTTACAAGTTTTTATGCAAAAAGGTAAAAATGAATTATAGTCACTGAAGATAAAAAAAGGTATAAAAGAACGATAATCGTTCCTGCTATTACAAGTCCAGTTTGGTTAAATCACACAATGTAAAATGTACACTGGGGATACAAAATAATAAGGCACAGACTTTTACAATCTAGTGAAGGAAACATTAAGGTAAACATTGGAATCAGCTTGTATCCTCTCTAAGAGGATATTAAGCATAGTACTTGATACAGTAGTGTACAGGTAATAAAATTCACTCATTAAATACCTTATAAGGAAATAAGTAATATTAAAAGAAACAAACAAGGGACAAAACCTCATGTACTTATCGTTCTAAGTTAAAAAAAAATTTTACAGAAGAAGGACTGGAAGGAAATTCATCAAAATGTTGATGTAACTTGCTGTGGGTGATAAAACTAGGTTTAGTTCTGTATGTTCTTTCATGAAATAGTCTGTACTTTCCAAATATGTAATGAGCATATTTAGTGATTGAAGCTAACCAATTAGATGAGTTACTGTCCAGAAAAAACAGGGTTAGGGGACTCTGTAGGTGGGAACAGTCATACTGAAGGAGGGAAAGAAAGAACACACGGAAAGGCAGGAGGGAGGGCAGGAGAGAATCTGGGCACGTAAACCAAGGGAAGAGAGTTTCAAAAGGCAGGGCTTGTTTCCCATGTCAGAGACTCAGAAAGATTAGCTCATTCAACAGCAAATATTTACGGAGTTCCACTGTGGTCCACTTTCCAAATATCTAATGAGCTTATTTAGTATTTGAAGCTGACAGATTGGATGAGTTATTTCCCAGAAGGAACATGTAGAACAAGGGTGTGGGCCATTTTTGATAGTTTAGAATTTCCATTTCCAGCACCTTTAAAGAAAGAAAAACTTGCAAGTGAAAAAGCTGGAAGGGAGACAAATTATTAAGACTTTACAAATAAAAATTCAATTGTCTTAGTAGCTTACAGTTTAAGCTGTTCCTTCTTTCCCAAGGAATTGTTCACTAACCTCTGGTTTTCAAGGTTTCACTCAAGGGAGTATCTAAGAATTTTTTTTTAATAACAAAATTAAATTCATCCAGTCGTTCTAGTAAATATAGCCTTTTATTAAAACGTGTTTACCATGCGAGGTACGTTGTCAGCATTACTCTCACAAAACCTGTGCTGTGTGTCCTGCTCACAGGTACGAGACGCCTATACCTTGTATCAGGTAATCAACAGGTTTAAATGTAGCTTCTGATTGTGATTGTATTTGCTTCTATATCAGCCTTAGCACCATCAGAGAATCCGATTATCTAATAATGGGCAATTATCTATACTGAGCAACGTATACATTGTCTAGCAAGAATTTGATTCTAAATAACAGAAAGCTTAAGAAAGGGAGGACATCATGAAGGAAGATAAGTGATTACCATAATTTTAATTTGTTTTTACAGTTCTCCAGAGATGCTTCCCTGACTTCTCTACTCAAAATGGCACTTTAACAGTAGGAAATAAGACAGTATTTGAAGACGGAAGTGGAAGGACAAGAAATGCTGTCGAACTCAGGGCAGCTGCGAAGTATGTTTATCTACATTCCCAGCTTCCATTCTGGTACATCTCAGGATTACACCCAAACTAAAATGTCCATTAGGTTAAAGGTTATAGAGGAAGAATGATGGATTATGTGAAACATCCATGTCTCACTGTGGACTGGAGAACTTGGTATGTGTTCAATTAGGAAAACCAAGTAAAAGAGAAACCAGAAGGAATTCAAAAGAACAATTCTGTTTTTCAAGAGTGTTAAAGTTTTCATTATCAGCGGGTATAGAAATGAGACATCAGGAAACATACTGAAAGTCCTTAATATAATTTACTTTTTTTTAAACTGAAGTATAGTCAGTTTACACTGTTGTGTCAATTTCTGGTGTACAGCACACTAGTTCAGTCATACATATACAAACATAGATTCATTTTCATATTATAATTTACTTTAATGAGCATAATTTAAACACCTGGGCTTTTTTAAAAGCACAATATTTCTTTTAAAAAATAACTGAAATGATAAAACTACCAGATGTTTTAAAGGAAAGGGGACCTTAAGAAAGATAAAACAACCATGACGCCACTATTTCAGTACCGTGTCAAATTTCTGTGTGCTAACCGCAGTGGAGTAAATTTTCTGTTTCCCTTCGCTGTCTGCATGGTGGTGTTCCCAAGTTATTGGGAAATATAATTCCCTGTGTTACCACAACACACGTGTGCACAAGCATGAACACACATAGTACCCTCCCATAGCTCTGTTGTTAAAAATGAAAAATGAAGATATTCTTAAAATTTATTGTTCTTTCTCAAAAAATTTTAGCAGTCCAAGTAGAATAGTGCAGATCCTGCATATTTAGAATATATTAGCAACATGGATGGATTTCACAAATACAAAGCTATGTGAAAGAAATCATAAAGTAATAGTGCAAGTCCATTGATCAAAATTTTTTAAGTGAGCACAACTACATTAAGTTATCCTATGGTGCATATATAAGTGGTAAAACTAAAGAGAAAACTAGGAAATTGTAATCACAAAAGTCAGGATTATGGTTACTTTAGGGAAAGGGCAAGGTGTGTAATGGGGGCACCCAAGGGAAAGGAATGACAATGTGGTAGTTGTGTAAGTGTGTTCACTTTGATAATTCATCAGACTGGACACTAATAATTTGTGCACTGTTCTGAATGTGCCCCTCTGTGCCTTCCTGCTACAGTGCTGTCAGAGGATTAGGAAGGGGAATTAGCTATGATATTCATTCTTGGCTCTATGGATTTTGTAATTTAAAAGCTGATCTTATCATTTAAATTCATGTCTTACCGTGAGGTTCCTGCAACACTGAGGGCGTGTTGCATATGTTGGAAAAGAGTCTCTTTACTATTCTTGAAAGTCATGTTCCCTCCGTGTGTGGCTACAGCTACCTTTGTAGGTTTACCAAAGTGACATCTCATGTAGTGTTGTGACTAGGAAAACTCATGACTAATAAATGGTTTCTAAAAATATGCTTAGAACAGCAGCTTGAAAATCTCTTTTATCATAACAAGAACATTTCTGTTCAGTGGTAGTCAAAAAAATAATTGATTTTTTTCCTTCTTTGAATCCAGTGGTGTCAATAGAGTCCTTGATGCGAGGGCAATTGGAATAAAAGTGTTTGAAGACTATGCAACAACTTGGTATTGGATTCTCATGTAAGTGAAAACATAAGTGTTTCTTCTCCGGCTGCATTCTGATTTGATCTTTGTAGACCTCTTTCTTCCAATTCCCTGTTCATATTCATGAATCACAGGCTGACTCAGATCTCAGTTCCTGCCACTTTCTTTTTCAGGCAGAGTGAAGATGAGGAAGAGATATTTGGAAATCTGCCCAGTGTTAGCAGAAAGTTACAAGAATATACATTTTAATTTTAGTCTCTAAATTACACGTAAAAGTACTCTTTAAACAGATACCTCAAGTCACATGGGGCCTCATCTGTAGTAAGTTTGCTCTTCATCACATCTTAACAGTGGATGCAGTGTTATTTCTCTGGTTCTCATTTGTCCTTCCCTTGACCTCCAAACAGTCATCTTATTATTATTTTTTTAAACATTTTTTTGTTGAGTTATAGTCATTTTACAATGTTGTGTCAAATTCCAGTGTAGAGCACAATTTTTCAGTTATACATGAACATATATATATTCATTGTCACATTTTTTTTCTCTGAGTTACCATAAGATCTTGTGTATATTTCCCTGTGCTATACAGTATAATTTTGTTTATCTATTCTACAATTTTGAAATCCCATCTGTCCCTTCCCACCCTCCGCCCCCTTGGCAACCACAAGTTTGTATTCTATGTCTATGAGTCTATTTCTGTTTTGTATTTATGCTTTGTTTTTTGGTTTTTTTGTTTTGTTTTTTTTTTAGATTCCACATATGAGCGATCTCATATGGTATTTTTCTTTCTCTTTCTGGCTGACTTCACTTAGAATGACATTCTCCAGGAGCATCCATGTTGCTGCAAATGGCATTACGTTGTCAGTTTTTATGGCTGAGTAGTATTCCATTGTATAAATATACCACATCTTCTTTATCCAGTTGACTTCCCAAGATTTAATAATAAATTACTTGCCATTTTGTGTTCCTCATACCCATTTTGTGTGTGTGTGTGTGTGTGTGTGTGTACCCATACATAAACATATACCTGTCTTCTATATAGCACTTACCATCCTGTATTTTATTTACTCTCTCTCTCCCTCTGATAAACTCTACCATGGTAACTATGTCTAATTCATCCTTATTTTCCCAACTCCTAGTATGGTTCTTGGACCATAGAGATGTATAGAAAATGTGGGTTCAAGGAACAGTTATAAAAACACAAGGGGAACAAGACAAGATATATTTGACTATAAGGTGCTTAATAAAGTCCAAATTGCATTGTGGGTATAATACTAGTGAGTAGTTTTTAGAGCTGTAAAACTAGACAGTTTTATGAGCTTTTGCTCATTTTGATGCTTTGTCTTAAACAATTACAGTAATTCTTCCCAGTGTGTATTTCAGGCTGTATCTCCATAGCAGAGATTGTGGACTCTGCTTGACAGGAAACCAGTGCCCCTATTGTCAGACCCACATATCACTAGATAACTTTTATGTTTCTTCTTTAGTTTGGTTTGTCCACTCTTCCTTGAACAGGGTGTAAATTATGACAGGCTCTCCTGCCCTCCCAACTCCCACCACACACATGGAAATACTCCTTACCCAGGCACCACTCCCACCACTAGAACCTAAACACCGCCCTTTTCCCCAACTCTTCTGCTCTCGTCTATTTCATACACATAAAGCCAAAGACTGGCGTGCTGGGACTTAGTTTATTCAGTTAGAGTGTTTAATGTGGAAATTGAAAACACACAGAGTAGTAAACAGCTATCTTCCTTTGTTTTCCCTCTGAGCTTTTTGAATATTCCCCTTGGACTATGCCATAGAATAGCTCTTCAGCCCTATAGAGTGTTTCAGAATTAAAGTCTCTGTGGTTTTTGAAAGGGAATGACTTCTGAAGCTTAAAGCACAGGCTCTGCCAGACTGTGAGCTGAGATGGGGCTTTGACACGTGCTGTCATCGATCCAGTGACAGTCTTATTAATATTTTCTTTAAAAAAATTTTTTTTCCTTTTAAAGATAGCACTTGAAGACAGTGAACTCAATAAATGTGCCAGGCTCTGTCTGTTGCTGTTTGGAAGCTTGCAGATAGCACCAGGGGTGTCGGTTCTTAATAAGAAGCATCGGCCAGATTTCCAATCTTAGTGAGTTCTCTTTGATGAAATTACCTAGAAGAATCCAATTTGACTTTAACCTGGATACATGAGGGGAAAGGAAGTACCTCTGGTGGCTCAGTCAAACCCCAGGAAGAAATCAAAACAGAAGGAAAATAGTCATGCTGTTGATTGCTCAATCAAGTTCATATGGCCCAGGAGACACAGAAGCCTTATCATGGCTCCAAATAATGGCCCACAGACCACTGGGGACCTGAAATAAACGTCTGACGATGTTAAACATCACAAACTGTTAGAAATAATTAGACCAGAATGATCATGGCTGCAAAATCATGGATTCGGGAGCTGCGTAGGAGTTACTTTGCTTGTCTCTCTGCCTTAAGCTTGTCCCTTACTGCTAGGCAGTCACATTGTGTCAGGTTTTCACCAGTCACCAGGCAGATGGAACAGCACAAATTCCTCGTGGGTTTGTTTTCCTGTTTATCCCTTGGTGGGTAGGTGGGAAGGAAAAAGAAATAGGACCACAGCAGACAGGAACTGTGTGTTTCCTGGAACAAGTGATTGACACAGGACTTCAGTTTACCTAGCCACACACAAATGACAGATGCATAGTGTCCCCGATGTTCCTGTTCTTTCACATGACAGCCTTCACAGAACTATCCATACTTTTTAACATAAATGTTTCCATAGCCAGATAAAGCAATCAAGGATTATTTTGAGGAGAAAAAAGAGTTGTCTTGCTGTTTTCCTCGTGTTACGCTTAGCACGCTGGAGCCCTGTGTGAGTTGTGCATTTCTTCCCGCAGCGGCCTGACCATCGCCATGCTCCTCAGCTGGTTGTTCGTGATACTCCTGAGGTTCACAGCTGGATTCCTCTTCTGGGTCTTCACCCTCGGTGTGATTGGGATTATAGCTTATGGTAGGTATCGCCTCTCTTAAAATCACCAAATGTCAACAACGTAATCTTCTTTTCAGTTCCCATTGTCAGTTTTACTTGCCGTGAATCTTTCTTTCCTCCCCTCAAAAAAGGTGTTTATTTAATTTTGCATATATTGTCCCTATTACTTATTTCTTCTTTATCTTGAGGGAAAAAAAAGTGCCATCAGCATGTTCTACTCTTTTTCCCTACCAGCCTTTGGTCTCGTGCCTCATGGGTATTAGGGAAGAGGTGAGAAGAATCCTTTTTAGGTTAATGGAAAATATTTCAGACAATTTCTTTTATCTCTTTGACTTTTCTATATGATCAAAGGCCAGGTCTGCAGAGTTACAGAAGTGTGATCAATTTTCCCTTTCGATTGAGCACTTTTAATCCAGGTACTGTCACGCATTTTAATCGTTGGCCAGTACACCTTAATGAGGCAACACCCTCTAGAGGCAAGTACTCTGAATTACACTCACTGGATGGAGAATAACTTTATTTCAAGGTTGAGACCTAATTACCAACTCAGTCCTGCCAAATGCCGTACAGGTGAAATGCAAACACTGAAAAAGGAATTAAAGTCTCTCCTAAGGAACTGTATAGCACTTGTGGCAGCTTCTTTTCAGTCTTCTTTTTTTTTTAAACATTTTTTATTGATTCATAATCATTTTACAGTGTTGTGTCAAATTCCAGTGTTCAGCACGATTTTTCAGTCATTCATGGACATATACACACTCATTGTCACATTTTTTCTCTGTGATTTATCATAACATTTTGTGTATATTTCCCCTTTTCAGTCTTCTAATAAATGTTTGGGCCAACAGAGGAATGTTTGAGAGGTTTCTATTCAAAGGAATGATTTTCCCTACAACACTGCTTAGCGTGACAATGAGATTGTACAGTCACAGACACACACACACAGAATTCCTCTTTCTGTAACTCAGAGAAGGACTTTATCAGAATAAGAATGTAGCAGAATCCCCCAAATTTATAATTAGCTTAAGTTCTAATCCCAGCTCCATAATGTAACCGGGGGACTTCAGAAACATTTCCCAGTGATTATAAGACTCAGTTTCCTTATCCATAAGATCAGCACAATAATGGTATCTCCATCTCACAGAACTGTGAGGGTTAAATGAGACAACGACTATAAAGCTCTTAGATCAGTCCCTGGAACACAGTTAACACTCAGTATGTGCTGCGTTATTGTTATCCTCACTGGGTTTCTAGACCATCCTTCGGGTCTCTCCAGGTATCATTCCGTATCTACCCCTGCTGTGCAGCTGCCTGTGAAGAGGTAGGTCAGTCTGGTGGAGGAACCCAAGAACTGCTGTCGCCTAGTCTGAAACTCCCAAGAAAACTTTTTGTCTTAAAGTTTTGTTTTGTTTCTTTCCACCTTGGAGTTCAAAATATCCCCTGCCCTTTGCCATCTTAGAGTTTGGGCATGCGAGTCCATCATTTATT